ATATTAATACATAATATACGGCCTAAAACACCGTCTCTTCGGATAGATTTATTCGGATAGATAACTTTGAGGATGGCATTTCAAGCCATGCGTGATTTCCGATCTGCGTCCAGAGACTTATCGCATTTTCTTGGTGTGTACACTATTTATTAGCCCAGTTTGTTCGTTTTGAGGACTAAATTGTTATATATATTTATATATGCTATATACTATAAATTACTATATACTATATATTGCTATATATAAATGATGAGAAAACAATAGACTAGAGAAGAAATTAAAGTAACAAAGTTGAATATCAGCACACTTTCAATACCATTTTTTCTTTGGTTCTTAAAAATTGTTATGATAAGCTCATAGTTCCATTTAAGAATTAAAAAATTACACCCATTGTCACTTAATTATATCAGTAAATAAATATCGTGTAGAAAACGTAATTGCTTTCTTGAGTCGTATATTATCTGACACATAATCGTCATTAATCGTCTTATCTCATTTAGTGCAGGATATTCATAAATAAGTTAACGCTTGATTACTCGTATCCACTAATTTTTAATGAATGAAAACTTAATCAAGCTTATACATATATATCAAAGCTTGACATGTTCGGTAACTTTTTTGACGTTATCTCACTCGGTCGATCTAAAATTATATATACGCCGCAAAAATATCGTTCTTATGAATGAAAGTATTGAACTAGTTTCAGGAAAACAGTTCATTTGCTTCTAATTTTGGCACATATGGTATCATTTCACTTCTCGTATATGTTATATAGAATATATATATATCTACATATATGGACTGAACGTAGATGCACTGCAGTATATGCTTATACGCAACAACACATAGTGAATGCAAGTAAATACATATTAGTAGAACATTTGTTTGCAGGATGTGCTACTTGCTGTCTGCTAAAATCCTTGTTAATATTATTAAATATTATTTATGGATTTGTTTAATTTGTATTTAGTGGTGCAGTTGGTATATGAAACGCACATGAGAGCAGAACACGACCAACTTTGCATTGCAATTCAAACAATAATCAACACCCAATGCAGGCAAGGGGTGGCTGTAGTTAATGCAATTAGTTAACCAAACGTGTAAACTGCATACAGGCATCCGAGTATCTGAGCATCCGAGCATCCCAGCATCCGAGCATTCAGGCAAGCAAGTTTACTTAAGACAATGAAGTTTCTTCCAAGAACGTGAAAAGCTGCAGTGTTTGCCTTTTTACCCACAGAATTACATCATGTGACTGTTGTGTTTGGTTCTCAATGCAAGTGTATAACTGTGACGGTGACTGTGACTATGCCTTTGATATATGGAATTACATGTGGGTTACGTGCAAAGGAGTAGGAAAAGAATAGGCAGCAGGAGCAGGAGCAAAAGTAGAATCAGTAGTTGTACCAGTTGCAAATATGCTGCGCAAGTATGGTTGAGCCAAATGTTGACTTGCATATATATTTTGTCTATCAGCTCGTTAATTTGTCAGTCTGTCCGTTTGTCTGTCTGTTTGTTTGTCTGTCCGCTTACCTATTTGTGTTTGTCCGTTCCCGTGCATTTGTTTATTTTGTTATTTTTGTTGCTATTATTGTTTGTGTCTGTCCTGGTGGAACAATTACATGGTTTTGCGTAATGAATTTATCTGCTCATCAGCAACCAAATCTACATGTTCCTTTCTACTCTTCTCCACATTTGTCTACTCGATTTGTTGTTTGTTTGGTTCTGGCTTCGATGCTCGTGTGGAGTCATAGTAAATTTTATGTAGATTTTCTAATAGGAATTATGTGCACATTTGTGTTGTGGGGTTGTTACCAAGTCGCAGTGGCAGTAGCAGCACCAGTAGCCACTCTGTATCGGTTCAGATTATGAAAAGAACTCGCACAAATTACAATTTTCTCTTCATCCTGGCATTACACATTTATATTCCAACATAAACAACAAGCAACAAACATTATTTTGATTGGGGAACATTTTTATTAGCCTTTTAATCGTGATTTGTTGGCGTTTGTGGTAACGGACAAATTTATAGATTAAGTTTTTTGGATAATTAATAGAATTATTGGTGTAATTCATATAATATATACGAGTGTAATGTACATATCTTGCTTTGTTCTGAACTAATATTGTTGCAGCATATATTACAGCAGAAAGCCTTGCCGTTATTCTTAAATATTTTGCTCAACTTAATTTGGTTTATCTGGCAAGGATTAAAGATTTTGCCACATAAAATTCGTACATATAATCAATTTTTTGCTTTCTTTTTTCTTGTACATACTAACCTTTTGCTTCAGAAATTAATAAAAATAATTAATAATTTTGCACTATAAACTAGAATTATATTAAAACCTTTTGTACTGGTTGAAATTGACCTCTTCGTCTTTAAAGTGGCTTAAAACTTATTATTAGAAATGACCATACGTTCTCAATCTGACAGTACACCCATGTTGATACAATATTATTGAAAAGAGTGAGAAAAATTTTCAGAAATACTCCCCTATATTAAATGAACTCTCAACTATTTAGTTTCTCCTGAACTGTAAATTTTAAAATTGTCTGCATTGTTTTCATGATTTGTCTAAAATATATTAAAAATCGCTTAAAATCACTATGAAGCGCTCTACAAACGATAGGCATTTGATTGCGGCATTGATTTGCAACATTAGTTTGCAACATTGGCATGCAACATCGGCTTGGATAATCGACTTACAAAGCTGGTTTGCAAGGAATGGCACTGGCAGCAGAATTTAATTTGAGAATTTCAACATAATTGTTGACGTGAACACAAATGACTAAAAACCTTGTCATTCAAATTTCCCTGATATGAAAGAAATTCAAATTCTGCAATCTGAGTTTTTTTCCGTGATAGGTTAAAAGCGTCGAAAACCACAGTGCGAGACTTTAAGCTAGTCATATCACCTCGGGAACAAGTTGAAATGATCCCAGCTATTAGAGTGCAAAAGACTGCCGGTTGAAATCGTTTTCTACTAAATAGGAGATGAAATATAAGAACTTTAGTATTTGACATTAAAAATTTATCTAAGCTAGGAGTGAGAACGTAGCATACATAAATTATAGGTAATGATATGTTTTTAGAATCTCTAAATGATTTTGAATCCTATTTTAAAGTTTTGGATATTGCCGTCAACGCCTAACTGATCAATCATACTGCAATACAATATTGACATAAAACTATACAATTTGCCGTAATTATAGGCTTCATTATTGCAGTCATGACAGTTTTTTGCCATAGAATACACTGTGATATAGATCTTTCAAAACTTGATGAAATTTTAAGGTATTGAAAATTTTGCATCGAAATAAGGATTTTATTGCTAATGGCAGTGTTAATTTTCAAAGTGCTAAAGATTTTAATTTTATACATTCTGAATATAAAATAATGATCCTTAATATATATATATATATATATATATATATATATATATATATATATTTATATATAAGGTCGTACACTTATTAATACAAATATACGAGTAAATATAAATATACCCAAATTTTAACATGATGTGCATCCCCGTTTGTCGATATATATTGTACTGTTCTCATGCGTACAGCAGTGGCGGACGGGGTACCTGTAATAATGTGGATATACTCAGGAAGTGGATGCTTGAATGTTAATTGCAACAGTGAATAAGTTGTTGGCAATGTACTGAAGGCATGGGCATGTATCTATAGAGTTGGTTGGGTATGGCTTGATGATGATGATAGAGCTACAGATTGTTGGCTTTATAGGGTTTGTTGAGCTCAATTAGTAAGAGGTCTAGGCACAAGATTAAGGTTAATATTGTGATGTTTAAAAAGTAGTTAGATTTTATAAGGACAAATGAGATGATGATGTTGCCGGTGGATTATTATTAAGAGATTATTAAAAAAAAAAACAAATTTTCAACAGATAAATCGGTAGATAATTTTGTGATAATAAATACCATTTACTTCGTTGAACAAATCAATTGATCTGCAGATTTTCTGCATTTGTTGTCGGAAAGTGAAACTAAGAGTTTCATGAGAAGAGTTCAAATATTCGGAAGTGAAGACTTTTATTTTTAAAGTTTAAAAAATGAGGATGGCTGCGCGAATATTTTATTACTGAAATAATAAGTTGGTAAATAAAAACATATAGTGCTTCATATCAAGAAATATTTTGTTGGATTATAAATAAAAACTGGGATTTTATTTACATGGTTTTTAACTCAAAAACCATTCATTTTTCAGTTAGGGTGATAAGATTAAGGTTAATTTGATGACCATACAATAACTTCTTCGAGGGCATGGACGTTAGTGATACCAAATACTAGTTTATGCTAATATATTAATAACGTACAAATTTATATCAGAGATAAAAGTTAATATCTTAAATATTAAAAAATTAACTCCGGTATGTGCTGCCAGTCGAAACATTAGATCAATGGCTACATCTGTATATCCACGATTAATGACATTTCAAGTCCTCAAATTAATCTGACAGATGGTCCTAATATGCAAGAACCTTGATTTCATCAAGATGGCGGTATAAACATACCTCAGCTTATAACTTACACATCAGAATCATTGCCGGTATAGGGGTTCAACTGCTTGTAAGTTGGATTTCCAGATGGCGTTTCATTCGAGCTGCTGGGCACAAAGTGTGATATCATATTCTATATTAATAGCAATCGTGCTTTAAATGAACCAATTTTAATAAAAATAAGAATAATTTTATTATGTTATACTTCACTTTAGAATCCAGATCTCCGAGAAATACTTTTGATATAAAAAATAGAACTGTGATTGTCTTAATACTACTGATTCTTCATTGAAAACATATAATAACTACGGTTTCTTCACAAGTTTATTTTTCTACTTTAGTGAACGAATTGGGTTGTACAGAAATTTAGAGAAATTAACATTGTAACTAAATTATAAAAAATAAAAAAAATTTAAATTGTTTAAAAACAATATAAAAACAAATGATTTTGATAAACCAAAATTTCGCACTCATACAAATAAATTTTTAATAATATAAAAATACCCATTGCTATTTTTGCTATTAAAACTGAAACCACTTAAGGTGTGAGCTCTTAACTTGCTTAACGAATGACAGTTTTATTGTCTGCAACTTTATCAGCTCCAAAAGCTCCAGAACTAGTTAGCACATCTGGACGAGCTTCCAAAACCGTGGTGTCAGGTAATACCTCTTCAACCAAGTTCTGTTCTAAGTCAGTAACCGCCTGAAAGCCTTTGTTCACACATACAGAATCGTTGTCTTCAGACAGACTACCAAAAAATAGTAACCTGATAGTGCGGTCGAGATCAGTCTGTACTGGTTTTGAAGTTGAGTTCCTTTCCGGTAACTCGTGGGGAGTATCGAAACTTTCATCTAAATTTTTAAATTTGAACGTTATTAGAAATAACTTTATGTTATATATTGAAGACAAGATCTCAATACCTTTCTTCAGTTCCTTTGATCGTTGATAATTTATGTTTGAGGTAGTAGATTGTTCAATATAAGGTATAAGATACTTGTAGGCACCTCCATCAATTAAATTAGAAATATTCTCAGACTTAAGCATAATCTTAGTTTTGTTATTTCTGAATAATGCAGAATCTTCTGTAGGTATTGAATTCTGTGCAACGCTTTTCTTCTTTAATAATTTAGACCTTCTTTTTGTATTGGCTTGAGTAAAACGTCGCGAACAAGTCAATTTAGGAGATCGGTTCTTACTGGTCATTGATTTCTTAGAAGATAATTGCATTATTTCACGACGTGGTCTCAGAAGTGATCTGTGAAGTTCACTAGATACTTTTTCTGTACGAGTAATTTGATATGTTTCAGTGCCAGTTGAAGTAGTAACCCGATCTAATAGTATAAATGTGCTGGGTATAGCTGAACTAGATGCGTCGCTTGTTTCAGAAAAACTACTCTGATTAGATTCGTCGTGAAATAGCTGAAAAAGATTTTGTTTCGGGAAGTTTTGATTTTCATTGAGTTGGCAACCAGAATAATGACACGGATAACGTAAATCTTTTTGTAGAATATTATTCATGTATAAAAGTGTATCATCATTAGTTACATAATTCTTCGGTGATACGCCTGGTAAATCATTATTTACTTCGAATACTTTTTCTTCTAGAACTTTTTCTGGATTGGGCCTTTTTATAAAATGCACGAAATGTTTGTCTTTTCTATTGTTATAATGGCCCAGTTCCGAACTTGAGCATTTATGAACATAGCTACCAAGCGCATGTTCTTGGTCCAAATACCGCTGAATGAGTCTTTCTTGAATGGCTTTTGTATTTTTCTTTTTAAGTTTTTTTGTCGAGTTCACGCGATTCATTAAGTTTTCCTTTTTATTCTTTGAATTCTGTGACCTCAGAGAATGCAATTGAACACTAACTGGGGCGGCAGGATTTTCTGATTTTTCCTCAGTCTTTCTCTTCTTCCTTATGGTTTTAGTGATATTCTTTGTTGTGTTTTTAAATCCATATGTACACTTATCTGTTGAAATTGCACAGCTTTTGTTACCAACAACTTTGCTTTGAGTTATGAAGTCTTTTCTTGGTTTCGTCACGAAATAGCTCTCATTGCTAGATGCTTTACACACTGCAGGCTTACATTTGCGACGTAACTTCTTAATTTTACGTCTACGTCTATTGGAAATAACAATGGAACGTTTTTTCACCATTGACAGACTAGAATATATAGTGGACATGATCGAAGATTTTAACGATTTACTTCCTTCGGTTTTAACTTCATCAAAACTTCCACAACTTTTACAAATACTCTTGGATGTTCTAGTTTTCAAATCAGCATCAAGAGCATTTTCAACATTACTGCAATTACTTCTCTTCGGAACTTTCTTGGTATCGGTTTTCATATGTTCGCTATGAAGGCATTTAGTATCTACCTTAGCTGGAAGAAATTTAGAGATGTCTTTCTCGCTAAAATTTGAATTCCTTTTCTGGAGGATAAGATTTCCGTAAACATTGCGGCCATGAAGTGGAAAAACTTCTGAGCATCTACTTTTGGTCTTCATGTTGTACTGGAATTCCTGTAATAAAAAATAATTAAGAAAGAATTTGAAATTAGAGTGAAGGCTATTTTATTAGTATATAATCCATACCTAGCTCAAACGCATTACGATAACTGTAGAGACGGTAAGGCCTCTGTTATTTAATACATCTGGAAGATACTTGCTAAATATTTTGTGTGACTTTTCGTCATAAATAGGCTTTTTCTTTAATATGCATTAAATGTTACTAAATGATCGAGGTATTAATATTCTAGAGACAAAGCTAGAATATGGGTGCTGAGTGACTTTCTCATATACTTTCGAAATAATTAAAATTCAGAACGTAAATGCAATATATTCTAGGCTAAAGTTGACACATGTCGTATTTAGAAAGGTTTTTCTTGTTTAGAAGATATTTCTAGTTCTAATAATAAAGTGAAGCAATTTAAAACATTTAAACTCGAATGTTACGGATTTGAATTCAGAGAGACTCCCAATGTGTTTCACATTTCAAAACGTAATACAGACCAATACAATGTGACATGCTTCGTCTTGTCTCCTCATATCAAATGGAACAGTCGACCAATTGGGGTCACAGTGTGCTAATCTATTTGAAATATTAAGAGCTTGCGTTAATATAAGTCTCATTTTCAGGTAAACTAAGCTACTAATTGGTTACACATTGGATTACTATATAAGTAGATAACTTTTAAAGTTTAATTACACAGGCTGCTTTAAGTCTCCTCAGATCAGTTCACATTTAGTTTTGATTTATCGCAAATTTACTTCAGCAACTAATAACGTTGTTAAATATACAAGCTAGTAAGTTTTATGAGTAAATCCTATTTGTTTCTGATATTATTTGGTGAAGATATTTGTATCGCAGTAGAATAAATCGTTTAATTGGTTTCCTACACATGTTGCGATCAGCATCAATGCCGTTAAACATATACATTTTTTTAATTATTGTAGAAATATACTGCTAAAAACTAGTTCTGAATAGAGTTTGTTTCCAAAAATGAAACATAATGCATTTTGATTCATGTGTTTCTAGCGAAATATAATTCCACATTACTATGAATAAATTTTGTGAATTTAATCCATAGGTACAGCTTGCGTATAGGTGAAATCTAAATTTGACAAAAAATTACAAAAAAAATATAAAAAAAATAATTTATGAAAAATACGTTGGCAAAGCAGCCTCGAATATGTTCCACTGTGAAAGCTCTTCTAGCCACTGCATATCATATTGCATGAAATACTACATTACAATGTACCCACATTTAAATAATGAGCAATGCACAAATCAAGTAAGTCCAAGTGTAGGAAAGGCTAAAATTGATTTGTGTGAACCGAATGTTCAAAAAAAGTTGTTGGCTACACTTCTTCTTTAAACGAAGATATAATGTCTATGAGTTCATGTAATTACACAACGGCAGAGTGAGCTCATGCGTATGAGCCGCAGTTGTTATCCCGGAATTACTACGCCAATTGCTGTTGCCACTGCGAAGCGAAAGCCACCTTTAGGCTCACAAAACCTATCCGCATACTAACATTCAAAAACGCAAATTGCAGCCGCGATCACACAAACCACACCAATGGAACAACATCAGCAGATCGATTGAAATCGATTTCATTCAAAAATGGTATTTCAACGACGATTTATGGCAACCAATCCCAACTTGGCGCAACTAACCATATGTCAATGTGGCATCTTGACATATGGGAGTCTGTCTGACATAAGATTTGTGCTTACGCGTTTGCCATTGCCAAAGTCGTTTCTGCACACTTTGAGAGCTGAGCTTATCTGTCTCGGTTTTCAGTCTTCCATTTGAAGGCGGTTTTCGAAATGTTTTATATGTGCATTAATCCTTGTGGCATGGATAGCTCGACATGCGATTGGAATGTTATTATACCAGTGCTAGTAAGCGGGCTTTGCCATCAACAATGACTTTGCGCTGTTATTTGCTGTTGTTGTTGGCGATTCTTAGTTGCAGTGTAGTTCGTATCGGTATCAGTAAGAGAAACCAAACTGCAGCATCGATTTGATGTTGTTGATAGGAACCATATTCGCCTATCAGGTAATGTTTTTAGGTCTTTAAAACATATGTACGTATTTGCAAATGTACGTATAAATCTTCTAAATTATTCATAAAAGAATAAAAATAAACTAAATGCTTGGAATTTCCTCTTCCAACAAGCACTTCGATGTATCAAAAATGAGTTACAAACGAGTTCATTTATAAAATAATTTTCGTATATGAATGAATTCTTCGGGTTTCTCAATAAATCATTTAGGATTACTAATCGCAAAAATTTCATAAAAATCATATAAATAATATTACACGCCCCCTTCTATTCAGGTAAATTAAAAATATTTATTGCATATGAAATTTTAAACGTAAAGCACAGAAAGCTCAAAGCATAAACGAATAAACGAATAAACTAAGGAGGGAAAGATGTAGACAACTGGGAATTTGAGTACTGATTTTGAAACGATAGATTTTGGATTAAGGTTTTGCTATTAAATCAAACGTGGACCGTGCAGAATACATATAGACTAATACATCAAGCTTAAGTATGTATATTATAGAACGTTTTTATCAACAAAAATTCCCAAGACACGCTTAAACATTTATTAGAAACAAGGCCAATTATTATATTAACATTGGCTAATTCTTATGAAATATAAACAGATCTTTTGTTTTACCAGTGATTGTGTTTGAATTTAAAAACCAACAGTTAATAAGAGTTACTTGCATTTATATAACTGTAGTTTATCTATAACATTTAAAAAAAGTACAAGTGCAATGATTATTTATGAATAAATTACAAAAACTAACAGAATTCCAAATTTGAATAACGTAAAATGAGTTAGACACCAGACAATCCTTGGATCCTCACTATCCAAAAGTTGTGTTCTGACAATTTAGTTAATAATTGTTTCCAAAGATCACTGCTGATGGGTATTTGACAGTATTTAAAACAACTAGCTTCGAAATTTTTTTAATATTACCCTCTTTTCTTTGAGAAGGCAAATTCTTTTCTCTTTTAAAGTCCTCATATATTATTTTAAAGGTTCATATTTAACTATTAAAAGATTTAGAATTTGCTTGATCAATCGGAAAGGTTCACTCTCTATATTAGAGGTTTACTATAATATATATAAGAGTTATATGAAGAATTTATTGAAAATATTGGTTCGACACATATAATTTAGTCGAAAAAAACATCGACCGACGCACAGTGTGACAAGACAGAAATTAGCCGAACAAGTTAACTACCTCAAATATACAGTTACATTATATATATTTATCTAAAAATTCCGTTACAATTGATACATAGCAGACACAGCATATTCTTTGTTTACACTGCTGTTTCCGGAGTTTATAGCTCAAGATCAGTGCATATATAAATTGCTTAGCTCCATAAATTAAATTTTACATTATAAACAACAACATGGAGTTGTGGGAAGCTACAAACCGTACTGTAGCTAAACACTTAAAAGTGATATATACAAAAGTGATATTGGCTTAGGACAAGAAAATTTAAAAACTATATCTTTAGTTTTTAAGAAACACGCTATACAGTAATGCGCAAACTCTCTCATTTAACTACCTGTCTATTGGAAAATGTAATTACAATCCACTTTCTGGTTTTGTTTTGCAACATCGATATTATTGACATATCATTATATATGGTACACTGATTATGCTCAAATTTGATTTAAAAGAAAGACCATCTCAAAAACTATATTTTAGAAAGATTTAATTTCAATTTCTCTACTGGTTCCGAAAATATCGAACTTTGATCGGCTAATTTGTCACACTGTGTGACGTTTAAAATATTGAACTATAGTTAAATTCCATACATAAATATTCTAAGACTATGATTACTAAATAAACTATATAGCTTTTAGGACGAAGGACCTAGTAGTTGCTTCTTATTCTTTATTAACTTTAAAATTAATTTTAGTGTTAACTCACAGATAAATAAACAAACTAGATGTTTTATAAAATTTCTGCTCAATCTGACATAAATTCTGCATATTATAGATACAATAACCTCCTGTCCAGATATTAAAAGTGTATAACATACTACCCGATCTACAATTTTTCTTCAAGAAAAACTAGTAACAGTGCAAGTTACGAGTCCGAGAACAGACCTCCATGAATAATGTAAAGTATAACAGGATTTTGATAAAATCCTATAGAAAAGAAACAGTAATAAAGTCGTTATGTGAACGTACGTTATGTGAAGAGTATCTATTCTTTAAATATATAGATACGCGTAGTTATTACATTTGTAGTACATATGTTAGATGTTATTTATTACACGTTAGGTTAGGTTAATATGTTAGATTTAGTTGTCTAACCCACTTAAACTTTACAAGTTCAATCTGATCCCACTGCACGACGCGGGGTCTCAACTGTATAACCTATGCAACAATTTTAAGACTATTATAAAACGTAGGATGTATTCAATTGCACTTGCATAAGAAATTTGCGCTGTTTCTAACTATAGCCTGTTACCTACGAGAGAGTAATCCACTATTTCTTCTCCTTGTCTTTAGTGATCATATCTACCAACAATAAGTGAAAGGACTGGTCCTTAAATGTATGTGTATTGTATTAATGTGTGTATGTATTAAGGAACTAAAACAACAAAACGAACTAAGCGAAAGTAAGCCAAACATCATTGGTTGTGGCTCCTGGGTTTGGTGTTACAATCGCAAAGGCAAAAAAATTGCGAAAATAAACTGTCAACCATTATGACATATAGGTACAATATGTCAAATTCTCTCGGCGTGTAGCAAAACTTAACATGGAAAGCTATGTTAGGACTAGATGAGTAAATATAAATATTTGCGTAAACAAAACTTTGATAGCGAATAGTTGTTAAAAATACTGGCGTTTAAAGACGTTAATGTGATTTCGTATTCATTGCATCATAATGAAAAAATATTAACTGTTTTCCAATCTTCTTCAGATATCTCCAAAACATGGATTTTAAATGCAACAACGGATTTTGCTGCTTCATGTGCATTTCATGACGTAGAATTTCATTTCATTTCATCACATTTCATTTTAAATGAAAGAGGATGGGATCCAACGAGAACAAACCTTTTTCACGACTAAATGATCGTGCAATATTTTGTATAGTCGTATGCTGGTGAAACTAATGTCTAAGGTTCCCTTAATCACACAATATCTTGCATGACGATCTAGCTTTACTCGTATCAGTTTTTGCACAGCAGCAATGTTTTCTAGCAGAACAACTGAACAATTGATTTTGGACGACCTTTACGAATTTCTTCTGCTTCAGTGAGCGAACTTCGACCACGATTAAAATCATTGTATCAGTGTTTCATAGTGGTACGGATGGAGCTTCATCGCCAAATATGGAAATAAATTGATCGTTGCCCTCTTCTCTTGATACTTGTAATCCACGTCGAAAGTCGTAATAATGAAATAAATCATCGCATGAAGATTTTCTCGTGTTAATTCTATTTTTTCGCGAACACTCAATTTATAAACCACTGTAAATAACACAAATAACTCTCTTTTTACAAAAGGTCTAAGATAGGTTATGTTCAATAATGTCAAACTTTCGTATGGAAACGTTAGATGATACCTTATAACAATCAGTATTGCTAAGGTTCAAAACATAAATAGTGACCCTCATAATTATATAAGGAATTACTAAAATCTGAAATACTAGAGAATAAAACACATACTTAACTTCTTTAAAATTGAACGAAATTGAAGATCTGCGAAGGAAGCAAATTGAATGAAATGCGCACGACGTTCTCTGTACCGTTGTGGTAATAAAATGTTATCAAATAGTCCTCTCTGAAAGCAAAAATACAATAAAAATTAAAATGAATTAATGATAAAATATGTTCAACGATCGACTAATTGACTCTTTTATATAAAAAGTTATCACTAAATATTCACTCTATATTACTGATTTAAAAACGAATTAAAATTTTTGAGGACCTTCAGACGAAATAATGTTCAAATCCACAAATAGGATATATGAAATTAGCTTAAAACCCACAGCACACTAACATAACAGTTAGTTACAAATGGTCCATATAAAACATATGCATATCAATACAACCTTACACTTATTAACTGTGGTGTGATCTATTAATTACTTGACCTATAAAGTGGCTTTTAATGTAAAGGACAACCACTGCTTTTGATAAACTATGTGTAGCTATAAAGATGTAGAGGCTAGGTATCAATTACTGCAAGCAATTATTGCCAATATGAATATAGAAATATTATACAAATGTATTAAGATCTATTAAATATATTATAATCAGAGGTTTGAGCCAGAACTTATCGTTATTCTAAAAGTCAAAAGGAACTAATTAACTTGTTCCAGGGAAGTACCCAAAAAATATTCTGCACCATTTTTATTTATACCTAATATTCAGCATAGGCAAAAGTTTGTTATATTGTCAGTTGAGTGATCTTTTTAGGTGTTATTTTTTAACTATTTGCTTAAAGTGAAAATCATAAGATTTGGAAATATGACTCCATTCAATTGAAAAACCAATGAAAATACTTTCAATTAAATCTGTTTAGTTATTTGTATATTTGTATACATTATGTTTACACCATCCAAATAGATTCTAGTTCATTAAGTTGTCCTCCTAGTTCATTTTCCACGAGATTTACTGCCACATCCATCAATACAGTATATCAGTAATATGTGTCTTGTTGTATACATATATAATTATCGTATAAGATTAAAAGTGCGAAAACGAACATTGAACTGGTATATAAAATCTGCTAACAAAGATTTAGGTTTAATGTTAAACTATATAAGTAGCTTTCCAGAATCGTGTCGTAATATCGTAAATGAAACTGTTTTAAAAATTTCAAAATCAAACTGTTTATCAATGTATCCCATATTCATTTATTTAATTATGATTATGATGAGACACTAAAACTGTTATCTGATAGTTAATGCTTATGAGCGTACCTATATAATCTATATTTACCATAGTTCTAGAGTGGTTTGCTGAATATATGTAGTTTAATATTAACTACATTCCGATGAATGTGCTGAATGCGAAGACAAAGTTTTAAAATAATAAAACTGTTTGCCCAGAACAAAATAAGTATTTACCCGCATTTATTATGGCTGCTGATTTCCTAGGCGGTAATATGTACTTTGATAACCGAATTCACTTTCCAAGTACAGTTACTTAGCAAACATTGCTTAAGTTTTATGATAGCAAATATTGTTTCATCAAATTGGGAACGGCACTTTTCATCTCGAACAGTTACAACATTTGCAGACTCACCAAAAACGTTATGTGCACAGCTACACTATATACTATATATGGCCACATACGTACGTTGTTTTTTTTTCATTAAAAATTTGTTTACAAAAACGCGTGTGGCATTCATATCAAAGCTTCTTGGAGATGTGTTAAGTTAGTTGAAATAGTACAAAAACGCGACTAAGTCAACAAGTATTCTAATCAGAGGACATAGCACCGCAGATATGCCTGAAATGCGTAGCGAACCTTGTAGAGCGAAAATAGAGCGCATGAAGTAACATCTTTTGCAGATTACAAATACCCGGCCCGCACAATGACAGACTCCAACATTGCCGCCACCCAAGGCACAACAACAGCGCAGCGGTGTTACCTCTGAGGTCTGCCGGTATGCGCTTCCATAATTTGTGCAATGAAAAAAATTTAATTAATTAAATTAACGCTTCACGTTTTTTAATAGCAGCAAATATCAGCGGGAAACCGTCACTGCAGCAGCAGTAATGCAACAGTACAGGCGATAGCATCAGCAACAGAATCAGTAACTGCAAAAGCAGAGCATCTCGTTTAGGGTGATAATGTAAACATCAGCAACATTTTTGTGTGCTTGTAGCTGTTGCTTATATCAACATGACACGGCGATAGTTTTCGGAATGTGCAGCAGTGCAAGCCGCATTCAAGCGGAGATCTGTTTACATACTTCAGCTTACGACGCGGCTGGGACAAGCAACGACATTTGATGTTGACAGCTAATGAGCCAACAACAGATAAGGATTACGGGCAGGTAAGACCGAAGCATCACCAACAAGAACAACGGTAAACATACACAACAATAAAAGCAATTAATATGCCTTAGAAGCCGAAAAAAGAGCAGGTGATGTTGCCGATACACTGGCTTTTAATAGTCGCCGGTGTATCTGTGCACCCGAAACAGTTGCCGTCATATGCCAACAAACACTCAATTGAAATACCGGTAAGACATGGACACAATTGTATACAGATAAGCGCATATTTGCAAATATTTACCAATTAACAACACAATAAATAACAACACAAAATGATAAGCACCTAACAAATACAACGCAATAATGTAATTAAATCACAGTTCACGCAAATATTTACCTGCCACACTCGCGAAGCTACTAATCCATTCCAATCTTGTCTAAAATTGCCGAATATTTTTATTAAAAACCCCAACTTTCAAAAATTTAATATAACTTTTGCACGTTTACAATTTTTTTCGCTAAATAACGCATTTATTCTATGAAACAAATTGACACAAAAACCATTTATTTCTTACTAGTAAATCATATAGCAATCCAAAACACAGAGTTGCATTCCATTTGACAGCTCAATCAAAGTCAACTTCAGGTGTAATTGCGGAACGCAGTGAAAACTCGTTTATTAAGAGTAAATGTACTTCTGCACAAAGGGTTGTTGTAACGAGGATTGTAGAGCGGAATACTCGTAACAGGAGAAACAAGAACGATGTCGTTCAGATAAAGAGCCATGAATTGAAGAGGCTTGTGCATCACATTATTAAGTAGGTCGTTGGGAAATTGGGCTGGCTATGGAATATTAAGGACAAGAGTATAACAGTTGCAATATTCGTCAACAAAACCAAATATTTGCCTCCGTCTGGTGCGGGAGTTAAGGTAAGAGTTGAGATCGTTACTCATCAGCGAATATCTAAACTTAGCATAGCTCAACCTATTATCAACAAAACGAATCGTTAAAGGGATGGACAAGGAATCAATTTTTACCCTTGATAACAAAAGTATGTACGTATACACGATAATATCAAGTACTATTTCTAGAAAGTCTATTTCCATTTAGTGACCATTTTACACCAGAACCTATAACGCAACTATTTCTTAATAGATTTGAATACCTTGTCATTATATGAAACAAAATTAATAGTAATATAATGGATATTTATATTTTAAAGTTTTCCAGAATGAAATACCTATGTAAAGTTGTGGCTTGATAATTCGGACAATTGTTCAAATAACAGATTTTTCCGAATTACTGAAACCAACCCTAATAGAGCGAATTTAATATAATTTAATATAATTTAATATAATAGAGCGAATTTAATATCTTTTTATAAAATCATAAATAACAAAAAGAAACAAGCATCATTTTATTGTACATTTAACTCATTCAATATCTCCCTTTTATAAGGTATACATCATATATCGTGTTGACAGTGGCGGAGCTAGACCAACTCTGGACGTCGGCGACATTAGAATTGCGAGGCCCCCTTTATAACCCAGTTGTAAAAGTAAATAAATTGAAAGTTTTATTGTTAATCAAATTAAAATAAACACAAATTAAAATAAATGAATTTTCCTACTTTTAGCCTCACTCAATTTTTTTTAAAATTTTATTATAATTTGCGCCAGTTGCTATTTTCGCTTCAGTTTATAGAATTTCGAATGGAGATAGTCTCTCTTGGATCATCATACTTTTTTAGTACGTCTTAATCAATTTTAAATTTGAGTAGCTTCTTTCCGTCGAAGCTATACTGACTGGAACTGTGAACATGAATCTGGTTACTATATAAACATTCGGAAATATTTCGAATATGGTTAATGCCATTATCAAACCAAATTGTTCAAAATATTTATTAAGTGCTTAGAATCCACAGTCGGTAACTTTTTGCAAGGCCCCTGTGGGCGCGAGGCCGTCGGCAGTCGTCGACATCGCTGATGTCTAGCGACGCCACTGCGTGTTGATGCGATTGATATAACTGAGGACTTTAAGTTAGGAATATCATAAAATATACATTCACACGGCAAATGTCAGTATATATAAAGGGACGAATTTCGATTGTGGTTTTCTACAGCAATTCGTGAGTTTCTGCCAGTGTGGCCATATTAGAAATGTTCGTTAATGACAGGTTGCATTTTGGGATAGCCTTTTGAAGGCTAATTTGAGTGACTAGAGCCTAACCACTTTGGTTGACATACGTTTTTATATATAGCAACTTCAAATAAAGTAATTCTATGCACGGTTGCCACTTGAAAATTTTTTTCTGTACCAAAATTGGTTTAAAAAGGTACCATTTCTGTAAAAAAAGGTCCAAAATTTTTCTATTGTCTTTTTATAAGAAAATACAACTTATATAAAATGTACAAAAAGTATAAAACAATACAATATCCACAATAAAGTTGGGTCGCCGAAAATGTACCATTTTTTGAACATGACTACCAGAGTACCAAACGGAAAAAAAAGTACCAATTTTGGTACTAAAGTATCATAAGTGGCAACCGTGATTCTATGTTCAGACAACCAAATTCCCTTAATTTCGTAAAAATGACATTAGGTTAATTTCGAAAGTGTTCATACTGCCCCCAAATTAAGGAAATCATATGTTTTTTATTTATAAATCAAATCTTAAGAATTACATGCTTCAAACACCATTTGTATCTGAGAAATTTTAAAAGTTGATTATTATAACAAAAAAGGATGGCATTCAGTAGTTTTATTACCTTTAGTGGATTTCAGGTTTCTGAATTATTATTTTTAACTCTATTTTAAACTAATCACAGTTAAAGTTTTTTCTCTACATTCAAATTTAAAAATTTGCACTACTTTAAAAATATATTCCTTGTTTTATTACACACAACGGTCACTGATATTTAATTTAAAAAAATTTCACTTTTTCGTTATATAATTAACAGGAACAAAATTCTATAGTCAATATATAAGATAGGACATCATAGAATCATAGAAGAATGAAGATCATCTAATGTACAAATTATGGTACTTGTTTCACTAGGGTGGCTCAGAAGACCAAAACGCGATTCTAAATGAGCGCACCCCCTTGGATTATGCCATTGATACAAAAAAATGATATTCCTAAAGTTTTGGAGCAATAAGATTAAAAATGACTTTGCGCCATTCGAGTAAAGTTGGGTTTTCAGTTCAAACAAAAAAAGAAATTTTTCAATTCAAGGCCATTTTTCTGTCTTTGTTACTTATTTCCATAGGTATTAATATATACTTACCTTCTGCTCAAAAAGTACTCGGATTTTGTAAATAAAACACACAAATTTAAATTTTATTCCAAGTTTATTTCAACTCCTTCAAAATATGCTCCTTCTGAAGCGATACACGTATGCCAACGCTTAACCCAATCTTCCATACACTTTTTCGTAGGCCCGTGCAGGTATCGCTTTTAGTTCCTTCAGCGAATTCTCTTTTACCGATTCAATCGATTCAAAACACTTACCACGAAGGGGTAATTTGAGTTTCGGGAACAGGAAACAGTCGCACGGATCCACATCTGGCGAATATGGTGCCTCAGCGATGACAGTGGTGTTGACAGCCGTGTTCGGTCAAAAACTCGCGTACAACAAGAATTTTCCATAGTAAAAATCGCTAAATGCACTTGAGGTACTCTCACATTAACAGCTGCTGTAAACAAAATAATTGACAGATGGAGCTCAAATTTGTATCATATGTCAAGAAAGGGTGTAGCAACATAACAAAAAAATTTTTTGGAAAAAGGTGTAATAGACTTGACGATCGAATTTCTTGTCTCTTCGGTCACAAAATCACTAACATTCTTTGAGGAAAATGACTTTAACTCACATAGTGTGGGTTAAAATTTTTTAATATCTGAAGGATCAAAGTTTTTATTTTTTTTAACATTTTTAAATGATGAACTACTAAGACTTGCAATCATTTTTGCTTTCTTCTCAACTGAAACCCTGCTGTCAATGAAAGCCATGGCCATGAGTTCTTTTTAACGTTTTTAATGAGTTGGAGATATTGGTTAGCTGATGTACCTTCACTTGTTCAATTAAACCGAATTTTCACACACATTTCACCATAAAAATGTATATATCTCGTACAAATCATCTGAGTTATATGTAAATTGATCTCTAAAAATGAATATTTTTAGGAAAAACATGAATTTCGTCATCCATCGAGAATTTGAAGTGGCACCTGGGCGACAAAATTTAAAATATCAAATATTTTCTCACGATAGAAATTCATGACATCTTTGGAATTTTTCGCTTTAATGTTTCTTTTGACGTTTCAGTTTTGAAGACCACTTTTAAAGTTATTTGTCACGAATTTGCCTCACTTCCATGCATTCTGAAAGTCATCAAAAATTTTGACTTGTGGAGTCTTAGATTTGCCAAATTTGCTTCAAATGCTTCCCATACAATAATTTCACAAATATGATGCCAACATACAAAATATAAAAGCTCTCGTCCAAGATTCTTCTTAACGATAAGACAGAATGTGTTCGACTATCTCCAAAAGCGACCAACTGCTTAAGTTTCCATAAACTTTATTAACAATTGCTTTCCTAACATACAACAAATATTCCCGCAAAATTCACTCGCAGTACTTCAATCATACTTGACAGACAGATCTATCAATGCAAAGTACAACACGCACACAACGAAAGATTTTCCAATAACTGCTGGTGTTTCACAAAGCAGCGTTCTTGATCCATTCTTGTACCTCGTTTTTACTTCAGATATCTCCACAAACACCAATTTAATAACATCAACATTTGCTGACGATACAGCTATTATGTACCGACATAAAAATGCCACAATTGCTTCTAGTCAACTGTAAAACATTTGTGCTTTATGGAAAGATGGTTGTCACTATGGCGAATTAAAGTCAATGATCAAAAATATCGTCATATAACATTCTCTCTTAACAGATCCTCCTCACCATCTATCACTCTTAACGGAATAGTAGTTCTACAAACAGAAAGAGTGACATACTTTGCTATTCACATTGGAAACATATAGAACCAAAAAGGACTCAAATGAAGCTCAAGGCTATAAGCCTTCGCTGGCTAATCGAGCATCAGTCTCCCTTATGTTTAGAGCACAAAGCCTTGTTATACAACAATTGTCATTAAGCCAATCTGGATGCATGGCTTGCAGCTCTATGGCAATGCCTGTTCGTCAAACGTAGAAATTAAGCAAAGAGCTCAAGCACAGATTCTAAGAATGATAAGTGGTGCACTCTGGTATATCAGAAATGAAAACATACATTTCGATTTGCAAATTCCGATGGTTAAAGTCGAGTTCGGGAGAATAAGGTGTAAACATATTTCAAATCTGGCTAATATGACAAATTCTTCTAGACTGAAACGGAATGATAGACCCGCCATCCTGCTTTTCTAAAGATCACCCTGATTAATTAAACTTATACGCCGTAATACATGGTAAATAAGCCCTGGCTGCGTATTTAGGGGCCCCTTAGAATATGTTAATTTACAAATTATAATATATTTCATTATACTA